TACACCAGGTGTACTCTACTAAACTGATGAAAAATAGGTGAAAGACACATTTTGCCATTACCAATTATCTGGAACGATAGTGGATATAGAAGGAGAAAAGGATGTGTGCAACTATTTATAAAAATTATGAAGGTATAATAAGCAACAATTCACATAAAGGTAAATGCTGAAACTGTTCCGCATTTACTTCCTATATTGATAAAATGTATCTGAAAAATTTTATCGATAGTCACATGTTTATGCGTAGGGGGTTAGGGGTCAAAGATTTAGGGTTCTGGGGTTAGGTTTAGGGTTCAGGGGAACAGATTTTAGGGGGTTAGCGTTCAGGGGCTCAGGGCATAGAATTCAGGGTTTAGTGTTATGGTGTCAAGATTGGGACGGGCAGCATTCTGAATTGATGATTCTCGGTTTCAAGGTCCCAGTTCGGCAGTGTAGGCAGCTTAAAGTGTTTAGGATTTAGAGTTTGTTGTTTTTGTTGTTTTTGTTTTATCTTTTTTTTTATCGTTAAATGGTAACTTCCAAATAGTGTAAGGTTGTTTTGTTAGGGTCCCCCGCCCTGTTTTTTGTGTGTGTGTTGTGGGGAACATGGATGAGCGGAGGACACTTGTTTGTGTACTTTTTCCACTCGGTTATATTTGTGCGTGCTTGTGCGTTGTGTGTTGTGCGTTGTGTGTTGTGCGTTGTGTCAGTGCCTTGTTGCTGTACTTACCTTCCAAAGGGAATAACCAAGGACGGCGACGATAACGGAAGCGACGAACAACAGGATGGGAGTAGTGGCGGTAAGGACCGCGGCGGTTAGTTCGGGGACATCTGGGGTCACTTCCCCGGGACCTTGGTTACCGCCCGATGAACTGGATGATCCATCTGTTAAGATTGGTGGTACGAATCCTCCCCCGGGGCTATCTGCCACTGCTGGAATGATCTGTCCTATATCAAAAGTTGGTACATTAGATTCTGATGGACCAGTTGTGGAACCTTTCTGTGGTTCACCGCAAGCGGCTTTACCTGCACCATCACCACTTCCTGCAGTACCGCCTCCACTACCCGCAGCTGGCCGCCCTATTCCCCATAGACTGGTCGTTACGGAGAATTCATCCTGATCCGCAGCCTTGTTCCCAGGATCTCCGTCCTCACCACTTTTGCCGTCCTTTCCCGCCTGACCGGGGTCTCCGCCTGTACCGATACGGCCTGTCTGCTCCGGATTTGGGTTCGGTTTTGGTTGTTGATGTTTGGGTGGATTGAGAGGAGGGGGGTCATCGTTGCCGCCATCGATGACGATATTCCCTTCTGCACCGGAGGCTGGCCTAGGACCGGGGATACTTGCTGCACCATCCTCTTGTTGGGGGTTAGGCGGCGAGGACACAACTGCTTCTGTAACCTTGGGAATGTCCTTTTGTGGTGTCCCTGATACCAATGTGTCCTTCCCATCCTCTTTCGTAGTTTCATCCTGGCCTGTCTCAGTTGTCGTTTGTGAGGGTTCATTAGTTGGTGCCTGCGCCGGCTGCGGTGCTTGGTCCTTATCTGAGCAGCAGGGAAAAGTGGAACATGATGAAACTAAAGTTCTGTGCGGTGGATGACCACGCTTGACCACACGGTTCAACCGGTGGTTGGTCGGCTACAGGGCTGCCGCTTGACCACGTTCCGTCGCTAACGGTGATGATTGGCACCATTCATGCCACGGTGCGAACGGTGGTTGGCTGGTGCCACCCCGGGAAAAGACTCTCTCTCTCTCGCACACAACACTCACAACACACAACACACACACTGTGTGTGGCTGTCTGTCGACATCTACCGGTCGACGTCGCTACGTCTCTCTACATGCCGAGGCCGCCCCGTCGCTCATTGCCCCGCCATTCTCATTCGACCTTTGGTTTCTCTCTGCCTCTCTCTCCGAATGATTGTTTTTTTTTTTTTCTTTTTCCCCCTTTATTCTATATGGTAAATGGCCTTGTACTCCGATGTATAGTGTTATCTCTCAGGGCACAATGAGTAATACTGTCCCACTGCCTAACACTCTTACCACCGGATACATCTTCCTTTAGTTCCGGAAAACGGAATATATCTGGTGCAGGTGCTGGGTCGTATGGTATACTAATGATTGTAGTAGTTAGGGTACCTGGACCCAGTTCAAGATCATCTATAGCCCTAACTGTTTCCTCAGTCCTCGTACCTGATTCTTTCCTTGTATCGTCTTTCTCCCCGGATCCCTTTGCTGGTGTTGTCTCGGGTCCTGATGTTGGCCCCTTCGGAGATTGTGTCTCTGAGTGTGATGGGGGTGCCGCAGGTGGGGGTTGTGGTACGGGTCCTGCTGCTCCTGCTCCTGGTGTTGCTTCTGGTTGTGGTGGTCGTGCTGGTAATACTGGAGATGCAGGCGCTTGTGGTTGCGATGCTTGTCCTGGTGGTGACGACGCCTGAGACTTACCTCCTGAGGTGTCCGGTACTCCGTGATCTGCCCTTCCTTCTCCTACACCCCCTGTTGGTTGCGCCTGAGTTTTCCCTGGACTCCCTGTTCCTGTGCTCCCGGGTGATGGTGTGGTTGACGTTTGTGTTGTCTGAGTACCTCCACCCTGTGGTTCCTGTGGACTGGCCTTGTCCTTTTCCTTCCTAGAATCTGACCCTTCTGTCTGTTTCTTCTTGGCTTCCTCCGCTGCAGCAGTAAAGCAGGAAAGAAAGATGGTAGAAATATGATAAAAAAAAAAACGGACACAAGTGGTACAGAAAGAACGGGCGGGACGGTTCGGTCAGGTAGCGACACGGTAGGTCCGCTGCATGGGTCGATGCATGGATCGAGGTGGCACTCGGTGAACTGGGTCAGGCGACAGCAAGCGTACGGTCAGGTGGTATGATAGCAGTACAACTTTTATTTGTTGTTGCCGTCATCTCGTCCGCCGACCCGTGCCGTCCGTCTCCGGTGCCTCGTCCGGTGCGTCGTCGCCGCCTCTCAAGATCAACGAAGGGGATGCGTCGTGCTGTTCCCCCCCGCGTGTGCGTTGTTGTGGTGATGGCGGCATGCGCACTCTCGGTCTCGGCCGTATTGGTGCTTTCTCCCATCGGTCCTTACCTGTCGATCCTGTTGTTGCAGCCGGCACAGTAGCCGTCGTGGCGGCCTCCCCGTTTTGGTCATCCTTCGCTGCAATAAAGGAACAAATAGGAATTAGAAGTGTCAGTATGTACTTTTTGTGTTGTTGCAAGGACACAGGAATGAACGTTGTTCACATATATCCATCGTGTGTCGCGTTGCACTTTCCTTTTTACTTCGAAACTGTCTGTAGTTGTCGTGTGTGTACTTATCCGTCCTGTTGCGTTCGAAGCTGTCTCATTCGACCGGAACATGCCATGCCTTACCTAAGTTCTTCTTCTTCGCCTGTTCCCTCTGTTCTATGCCTTGCTCTACCTGTTGCTTAATTCCTTTAAATACTTCCCCCAGTCCTGCCTTCAGTTCGTGCACTATTTGAACAATCTGCGAACCTTCGGCATGCGGTACATGTCCGTTCCCCAGGATGTCGTCTAGGTTCCAATCGTCCTTCCACTGCTCCGTGCACAATGCCTTTCCTTGTATTTTCTGTATTGCCTCTTGTAGTTTGCTATGTTCCCGTAACCATTTCTTGACGTCTGCATTTAAGTTAAGCTTCGTTGTTTTCAAATGCGCAAATAGGTCTTGACCACATTTCCGCTGCTTTATTAAACCTCCCGAAACACCTCCGGCCCCAGTCTCCATTTTTTCCATTATTTTCCATGCATAATATGTGCCCCACATACTTGGACACACCGATTCGTTTAATACTTCGCTGAACATATGTACTATTGCACATAACAAGTGCTCCCGTATTCTTTCACTGGTTTCATCTTCCGTCGATCGAGTCTTTTGTGTAATAGTCCACCCATTCATGAAAAACAATGCCCCTACCATAAGTACGCATACAATTTTATGCCCCACCGTGCGGGGTACATAGAAGTGACCGGGGGTAGGATCGTCGGGGCGCTCCCATCCTTTGTTATCACAGTTCGCTGCATACAGTATTATATGGTCGCCATCCATGTAGTCCACAAATTCGTGCATTACATCCTTGGTCTTGTTCCACACCATGTCCTGCAATGTAAGAGAAACACATGAAATATATACATGCGCATGTGTACTTGAATGCTATGTGCCCCGCTGAGCTGCATGCTCTCTTATACCAATAAAAGCCTGGCACTGAACGCCCCGTTGTGCTCTTCTATTCCTGTATGTTCCTACTTCATAGTCCTCCTGTGTGGAAATGCCCGCGGCGAGTACCCATTTCACCAATGCATTCGCCAAATCTACCGTTCCCATATTAGTACTATTCACTGAAATATACGGTACCCTTGGAAATACATATACATCACTAGTATTCGTATTGTTGTTATATTAAATGAATTCGCTGTGGCTTCCACTTTTAGTCGATAATGCTGCTTCTGTCGTTGTTCACTGCTCTCTGCAGGTAGCAATCAAATGTTCGATAAAAAGAGAAAAAATGAAGCACATAAAGATAGAACGCAGAATTTAAAAAAACAGAAAATGTCCATAGGAGTGGCTGACACAAAATACAGGGAAGAAACGCAAAAGAAAAAGAATGAAAAAAAAAAAAACGACAGGAAAAAATAGGAAACAGTACTACTACACTACCCTACACACTACACCGTCATGAATACCACCCCGTAAAAACAACACCCGTTCTGCACTAAACGCCGTCACACACACTGTCTCTGTGTGCGTACACCTAAAACCCCGCAGTAACAACAACAACATCAATGCTGCTGCCGTCGTTGCTGCCGGCCGTGCCGCCTTCCTTGCCTCGTTGTTGCTCCCCCACATAACATGTGTGTTCCTTCGCCTCCGCCCCCCCACTCTGTGCCCCCTGTCTCTAATCCCGCTCTCTTCCCGCGCTCTTCCCGCTCTCTGCTCCCTCTCTGTGATCCCCCGTCCTCTGGATGCTTTACTCGAACAAACCTTACCCGGCCACGTCGTCGAACCGCTTCACTCGGAGAGACAATGTCTCCCTCCGTTCTTACACTCGGCTACTTCGTCGAATCCGTCTTACACTCGCACCGACCGTGTGCTCGGACACAATGCTTACTAGGACGCGGCAACGACGGCAGGACGCAGAAGGACGAATTGATGTGGTTGTTACTGCGGTTTTTGTTGTGTACGCGCACACAGAGACAGTGTGTGTGAAGGCGTTTAGTGGAGACCGGTATAGAAAGGGGGGAGGGGGTATTCATGACGCATATTGTGTACGGTAGTGTAGTAGTACCTTTTTTCCCCCCTTTCTTTGACAACAGGCAGACGGAGGCATTTATAGCGTAAACAAAAAGTTCTGAGCGATGCACTGTTGCCACCTACGGACCACGTTATAGTGCTTCAAGGGTAATTCAGATGTCCACGTTATGATCTTAGGGGAAGATGGCGGAAAAGTTAGGGCATATATTGGCACAGTATGTGCTGACAAGGGGACTAGTGGATAAACCGGAGCATTATACGGTAATTTATTAAGATTAAGACCGCGGGGCGTAGTGTACTTATAACCGCCTCTATATATGATAGTATGCATACTTGCCTGTATATATCATTGTACGAATGCGGCGCTGCACTAATTCCATATAAAGAATACAATGGGAACGTAGAGTACGTGCAGCACTCACAAAGGCATGGGCACATATGAATATGGACGAGAGAGGTGCAGTGGTCCATTATGCACACACATATATGTTCCTTGTGCACAATGCAGAGAAGTTTATGGAAGGATATAGAGGCACAACTGGGGAAGTTTATGAAACATTTGGACGATCCTATTGTGGAGCTATATGCAGCTAATTGTTTAAACCAGGGTTACACATATCCGCCCAAGGGAAAGAGACCGATCGTAGCTAACGTGGGAGACAGAATTATGTGCACACTCATGTCAGCAGCATTAAATTTCATGAATGGGTGGGGTACACAGTCCGAAAGAACGGACCATAAAGACACTACTAGTGAAGCGTTGAAGGAACATATAAGGTGCGCAATAGTAAATAGATTTATGTACATATTGCTGGCATCTCCATGCAGAAGTGAAATGGGTGTATATTATGCATGGCACACTGTGAAAGAGCTGGAGAAACCGCAAGGAGGTGGTTTAATAACCAAAGGTAAATGCGGGCAGGGAGTGTTTGAAAACATAAAAGCGTCAGAGTGGGATATGGGCAAGGAAATTAAGGACTGGTTAGAGCAAAACCCGAGCTTGAATGAAAAATTTTCAGGGCAAAACATAGAAAGCATATGTAGGAAAAGCTTAGCCGAACTTGACAGGGTAACACCGGGTACACATACCATGCATGACAACACAGAACTGAGGGAAAAGGAGAAAGAAGCTATACAGACACTAAGCAAAGACCTGAAGCTCATAGTTGAGGAAGTAAAGACAGCCGCAGTGCACTGCGCGAAGGAAGGTGGAGAATGCATGGCGCCTAGCGAACACGCCGAAAGTAGAAATCCTGAGAATGCCGACAGTGAGGCCACAGCACCGAACTATGTCGGAAGCGGTAAACCAGCACGACCGGGCAAAGAGGGCGGCACAGAATCGTCCACGCCGGCAACACCACAGGGATCGATAGGTAAGGACCGATGGGGAGAAAGCACCAA